CTTATTTCTTTCACTTAGGAGTATATCCTCAATATGTATCCATTTTCCTATGAATGAATCTAATTTCTCATTCTTTATGGTTGAGTAGTATTCCATTTTATAGAAAAAAATCACATCTTTATCCAGTCTCCAACTGATGGAGAAATGGGCTGTTTCCAAGTTTTAGCTATTACATATTGTGCCACTATAAACATAGGTGCACATATATCACTGTGATATGATTCTTTTAACCTCTCCTTAAGTTTCAGGTGTCAGTTATTTTGACCCAATGATAGAAAATCAACTAATATACTCTGTCTCATTGCTGTAGCAGGGAAAGAAAGAATGCCTTACTACTGACAGATGGAGGTAGAGAAGTCTAGGTCCATTACTCTGCCTCTAAACACCAGAGATGTGGGAGGGCTCTTTATTACTACTTGGCAGTAGTGGGGGGTCTACAACAATGAGAATGGCCTGTCACTGTCGGACAGTAGTGTAAGTCACGTTTCTCCACAAGCTTCCTCAGATACTGCCCAAATATGGAAAGGTAGGGGAAAGGGTGAGGGGGAAAGTCCAGGCTTCCCACAAAGTCTTTACTAATACCTGGCCTGAAGGAAAGCCTCATTGTCAACAGGCAAACACAAAAGTGAGCTTTCAGTTTAGTTTGTCTGACACCATCTCTACAGAAGGGTTGCTACAGGGGAGCCAAGAATAATAATCCAAGCTCTCCATTCAATCTTTGCTTGTTATATGGGAGACTGCCACATTTATTTCTGTGATATTTGAAATGAAGTAGTAGGATTTTTTTTTTTTTGTCTAAAAGTTTTTTACCTTGCTAGACTGCTCTTTTCCTCATATGAAGCAGGAGAGAACAAACTTTTGTTAGGGGTTTTTGTTATGATCTGAGCCTATTAACATTGCCAAGTTGCCAGTTTCTTCCACTCCAGTCAGAGATGTATGAATCAAAAAGAGAACCCAAGGAACTTAATACCATGTTGTTCCTTAGATCCCAAGTTGTCTTGATCCAAGAACCAATCAACATGTTTTTCATCTTTCAGACTCTTATAATGGCATCTATCTACATGAGTCACATTTCACTTAATAATGGGGATAGATTTTGAAAAATCATTAACATCATTACATCATTAGGTGATTTCATCATTGTGTAAATATCATAGAATATACTTAGTGCTAGATGGATAGCTTACTATATATTTAGACTATATGGTATATAACCTCTTGCCTCTAGGCTACAGATCCACAAAGTATGTTGCTATACTGAAAACTGTAGGCGACTTTAACACTAAGGTTAGGTATTTGTATATCTAGATATTTAAAAGGTACAGCAAAAATACTGGACAATAGGATTTTCCCAGCTCCCTTAAAATCTTACAGGATCACCATTGTATACGTGGTCTGTTGTTGATCAAAATGTCATTGTGCATGGCTATGTGAGTATATGCATACATACAGATACACACATATGTACTTTGTTCAGGATTTTTAGTTGTACTTAGTGGGAGAAATAGCAAAAATATGTCTACCTCCATTTTCCCAGAAGCAGAATATTTTTCTTTTTGATGTTATTATTTCTCCTAGAAGCTCCATTGCCTTTTGTCTTTTAGGTTTCTAATATATCATAACCTAGTAAATAGATTATTTTGTTAGAACTGAGTCTGGGATAATAATTATAAATAAGGACACCTATGATTAAAATTTGAGATTTTTATTAATATTCACATTTATTTTGCGTGTTTTCCTCTCCAGCAGTGTAAGGATTATTTTTTACTTTTCATTTGTTTTTTTTTTCCAGTCTAGTAAAAAACAATCTATTGGAAAATACAGTTGTCATTATAGATTTGGGGGAATTCAAATAATTGTATGTCTTGGCAAGTACAAGACTAATGGTCTAGGACATAAATTTATTTGTCAGATAATGAAAACACAATGCATTCTTTGGTTTAGTTTTATATTTTATAGGCTGTGGGAAGTGTTTCTTATTTTTATTTCTAAAAACTATTTGTCCCCAATATGAAAGGATGATACCTTACCCCTAATTTTTTATTTATTTAATTTCTAATTATCTCAAAATATATTTGGGTCTTAAATTTGTATTTCTAAAAAATTGTAACTACGTAAATTTGAAATTCAACTTCTTTTAGAAAAAATAAATGCAGCACAGAAGGCATACTATTAAGTTCTTTTAATACTAGCATTTAGTTTCTGCTGTTAAAGAAGGCTATTGCCTTGATGAATGTTTTTTACTTTTAAGAATCTTTCCCATCAGAAGAAAATAATATTCCATAGTTGTAAACTTTAGGGAAAACAGAACAAACTGTTCGCATGTTGCTTTTATTTAATAAGGTGTTTCACTGTGAGCCAAAGTTTTCTACATCTTTCATGAGGCAGAAGTTGAACAGACCCTTCTGAAGTTATCATGGCAGACTCTTTCTTTTGTGAAAAAGGCTAGTCCCGGGGTTAAGGGAAAGTAGCAACATACTCTTCCAACTCTGACTTCTGTAATGGTAAAGAACGTCTCTCTAATTTTTATTGACAGTTCCTTCTGTTTCCACAGCACTTACAACCATGCTTAGCACATAACAGTACAAAAGAAACTCAGCAACTCATCATTAAGGAATAAAAGTAATGATCACTATAATTGATTGATAAACTTTTTATTATTGGTCCTATCATTCAGCTCAGGAATAGAAAAGTCTGCTTGTCAGTCACATTTTATTGTGTTTAACTTAACTCCATTTAAAACAGACTTTCTATTTCATGGTCCAGGAAATGTATACATTTTAACCCAGAGAACAGGGCCACCTTGGAATGATTTGAAATGATAGAGATATTAATTTAATATCAAACATGACTTTCCAGCCAGACATTGTGACACACACCTGTAGTCCCAGCACTGTTGAAGGCTGAGGCAAGAGGATCCCAAGTTTTCCAGCCTGGGCAATTTAACAAGAACTTGTCTCAATTATTTTTAATGTTTAAAAGGCTGGGGATGTAGCTCAGTTTGAAGGGCCTGTGTCCAATCTGCAATATCACCTTAATTAATTAATTAATTGGACTGGACTAGAGCTGAGTAGTACAATGCCTCTGGGTTCATTCCCCAGTATTACACACACACACACACACACACTCTGAGTATAACAAGTAAACAACTACCTGTTAGCTTCAGAATCTGTCATTCCTCATTAACAAACTTTCATGAATTGGTAATATTTTCTCAATTTCTCAAATGTGCTAATTACTTTTCTTTTTCCCAACTTGGAAGATTTGCCAACTTTCTTTTGTCTAAATTGCTTCTTTTCCTCACTTCATGAATGATACCTGTATTCTGAAATTTTTAGCTTAAATGTCATATCTCCAGAGAAATTACTTATGTAAAGCAGTTTACTTATATAAACTTCTTGTTCACTAAAAGTAAATATTGATGTAGGTAAATTTTTAGGTATGTTACAAATGTTCAGCTACAGCTTCTGTTTTTTCTCTTGACAAAGGATATTAAAAGAAGGTAGAAAGTGATACTGTCAAAGTATGAAGAAACTAGTGAATACAAAAGATGAGGTGTCAACATTGCTTCTCATTGTCACCTCCTATCATTGCTGACTTTCTCTAAAATCTCCCTTCTTTTGAAACACATCATCAAAATATGCCGCTCAGCACTACTCCTTCTTACTTTCAGTCATCTCAACATTTTCTGTTACTTCTTGAAAGCTTTAACACTTGACTCTTTGTGTCTTTTACTACTACTCATTTGACTGTTCTTTGTGATTTTAATATCTTCATAGCCATCCATCCAAGCTGATGGCCTGTCACTCTCTTCAACTTCATTCATTCATTTGCACTTCACTTTGGCTATTATAAGTTAGTTACCCTTCTGCCTCCTAAATCTTAATTTCAGGTGCCTCGACCCCTGATCTACAAAGTCCTGTCTTTTCATTTCACTTTATCTAGTACCCTGAGTTCTGCAATTTAAAGACCCTACCAAGTTATCCAGTCCATTTATCTTTTTGCCATTTTTTGTTTTTTGATTTTTGATTCTTTTTATAATCCCAATCCTCATATCAACACTTCTTTAAAACTGAGCTTTTTACTCTATGGTCTCTCATTTTCATTCTTTTTTTATATACACTCAAAATTCCTTGTGGTCAAGTTCCACCCCTTATAGCAACCACTGTTTAATTTCTCTTATCAGAATTAGTTTTACTTGGTCATCTTTGAACAAAACCCAGACTGCACAGAAAAGTATACAAAGATTAAACAACTGGGATCTCATCCTATTGTAAAATTTTTGCTCTGCAAAAGAAATCACCAACAGAATGAGAAGGCAACCCACAGAGTGAGAAAACAATTAGCCAGTAGTTCCTCAGATGAAGGAATAATATGTAGAACATACAAAGAATTGAAAAAAATAGTCCCCCAAATTTAAATACCCAATCCAAAAATGGGCATCTGAAATGAACAGACATCTCTCAGGCAAAGAAGTAGAAATCACAAATAAACGTTAAGAAATGTTCAATGTCTGAGAGATGCAAATTAAAGCAATGCTGAGATTCCATCTCACCCTAGAAAGAATGGCTATTATCAAAAGTCAAACAACACATGCTGGCAGTAACACTGTTCCACTGTTGATGGAAGTGAAGACTGGAGAAACTGCTATGAAATAAGTGTGGAGATTCCTCAAAAAATTAGGATTAGAGGTCCCATTTGACCCAGCTATTTCTTTCTTGGTATCTTCCCAAAATAATTAGAAGTATCATACCACAGTGATACATGTGCACCCACGTTTGTAGCAACACAGTTTGTAATAGCTAAATCTTAGAACTAACCCAAATATATTTAAATTCTTAGTCAAGTTACTGTTTTTCAAAATCTAACATTTGTTCTTTCTGAGTAAAGGTTTGAACTATGAAAATACTATTATACAATAAATGGCATTGTTTTAAAACTATTTTCTCTGTTTAAAATTTATTGCCTGTTTCTACCACTTGCTTATGTTTTAAATGTAGAGCTTTTGAAGAAAAACGAAAAGAACATGAAGAAAGGGAACACCAAATTAGAGAACAAATACTCCAACAAAGAAAACAGAAGTTTGAAGAAGTTACTGAAAAATTCCAACGTGCCCACATCCCTCTTTCTCAACGGAAGAGAGCAGGTACCTTAATTTCTCAAGCAATACAAGAACAAAAATTAAAGTTATGATCACATTTGACCTGACAGTAACATGATCAATGAAAAAACCAAAGAGAAACCAAAACTAAAAAGACCAACATGCTTTTTAAATAAATAGGACTTTAACTAAATGAAAAACAGTAAATTGATTTAGGTTTTATTAGAAAATACTTTGTTGCTTCTATTAGTAAATTCTCTATTAGCTTACAAGTTTGTTTCTACTTCAAAGTGGCTTACAGTTTTATCATTTTAAAATTGATTAACTGAACAAAAGTACTAACATTTGAGTTCAGGAAATTAGTGTTACATTCATTCTGGTATTTTATCCACAGTTTGGTTCAAATTCTTATTTGAGAGACTAGCAGAATAAAAAATCTACAAAGTAATATAATCCAAAACTCTAAGACTCATAACCAACTAAGAATCTAAATATGGTTATGGTCAGTATGGTTATGGTCAATTCTTTGGGGTCATATTCCAATATTTATACATTCAGTAGAAAGACAGAATTGGAATCTGTGTCAAAGCTTCACAAGATAGAGCTTTAATGCATTCAGCCACTTTATGCTATCATATGCTAGCCTGTGCTTGGCCCTGAACTGAGCTGAGATACCATCTCATTGTATAGTACAATTAAATATCCCATGGCCTATTGGAGATGAGAGTAATATAAATAATGCTGATAATATGGTAATTTACTATGGTAGCAGAATGTGTAAAATATTGTGAGAGCATAGAGTGGAACACTAAACATACATAGGGAAATTAAGTGTATTATTCCTGTAAAAAAAAAGTATTTAAGTTGAATCTTGAATAATCAGTATTTTGCTAAACAAACAGAAGGAGCAGATAGTAGCAGTTAGGGCAAGCTGGGTGTGATAGCACGCACCTGCAACCCCAGCACCTGAGAGGCTGAGGTAGGAGAATCACCAAGAGTTCAACGCCAACTTGGACTGCATATAGAGTTCAAGGCTATCCTCAAATATACTGTGAAACCCTGTCTCAAAAATCTAAAAAATACATAACAAACAAAAGAAAAAACAGTCAACTATATAGTCAAGTATACATATAGTCATGTGACTAGCGAGCAAGGCTTTTAAATGTGTATCTTTTACATGGCTATCCTTTATCTACATGCATATAAAAGATGCATAGGATGTAAATGCATCAAATATATTAAATCAATATTTAATATTATTGAAGATACTTGAAATAAGAATGTATTGGAGTTATTTAGGGGCTAGGATTTCAACATATAAATTTTGGAAGAGGCACAAACATTAACACCATAGTATACTCAGTTTCCAACATGAGACTTCATTGATGAAAATAATAACCTATTGAATAGCCTGATGTTGAAAATAGGCATTTTTGTTGAAATTAAGGGTATTTAAGATAAGTGGACTTTCCTGAACATATTTTACCTACCCCCTATGTTTCAAAGAGCAGAAAATAAGAATCCAAAGATATGTATAACTTTTATTCTTAGGAAGGCATCTGAGGCCACCAATAATATGTTGGAAATCAAGTATAATAATTAGAAAATAAGTTAATGTTTGCTATGGTGTCTCTTCCAAAATTTGTATGTTGAAATTCTAACCCCTGTGGTGGTGGATAGAAAAAGAGGCCTTTGGGATCTGATTAGATCATGACTTTCTTATGTGGGGGATTAGTACTTAAAAGAGACCACAGAGTGCTACTTAGCCTTTCAATAAGGTGAAAACACAGCTGAACGTTACCATCTGTGTGGAAATGTGCCTTGATCTTGGACTTCTCAGCCTGCACAACTGTGACAAATAATTTTCTATTATTTAGCAAGTTACCTTGCTTAAAGTATTTATTATAATAGCCTTAAAGAACTAAGATGTCATCTAAAGCTTGATAGTCACATATATGTCCTTTATGATTAGAATAACAGTAGACCATCCCACAATTCTGCATTCTTCCCTAGCTTATTAGTGCATCACTGATTAGGGAAATGATTCACCTCTAGAATTCAAGTTTGAATTAATTGTCATGTAATAATATACTGAGGGCTGCAGGAGAAGCAATATTCTTTTTTATGCAAAATAAAGGAAACATGGGTTGCTTTAGAAAAGCAATATTCTTAAGAAGGTGAAAGAGAATATTTGGAAAGAAGCAAAAGAGGGCCGGGGATTTAGCTCAGCGGTTTGGTGGCCTGCCTTGCAAGCGCGAAGACCCGAGTTCAATCCCTGGTACCAAAAAAAAAAAAAAAAGAAGCAAAAGAAATAAGAGTGTATTGAACATCAAAGTGCACATTAGAAAGATTTGGGACATTGAATACATATAGAAGGCAGGTTTGGATTAAAGGTTGTGCAGAGCAGTGTGTGTATAAATGTTCATACTAGTACAATAGCTTGAATAAGTTACTTGGCTCTTCTATATCTTGTTCTTCTTAGCTGTAAATTTCACATATCATTGGCCTTATAAGCCATAGTGAGAATTAAATTAGTTCATACAGTATATATAAAGTGCTTAAAAATGAGACCTATAGGCGTGGACCAGAGCTGTGCAGGGGCACGCAGATCCCAGACAGGATCTGCCCTGAAAAGAGCTGCACAGGCACATAAACAACAGCAAGAGGCCCACCCAGACTCCATCTATAAGTGAGTGCAGATCCCAGGGAGAAGCCCTCCTGGACCAGAGCTGAGCAGGTACACACAGGTCCCAGCCAGGGCCCCACCCAGACACCAGCAGCTTGGGCTCACAGTCCCCAGCCAAATGCCCTCCTGGAATAGAGCTACACAGTCAGGCAAGCAAAAGCCAGAGGCCTGCCCAGATACCATTCATAAGTGCATGCAAACCCCAGCCAGCAGCCTACTCAGACACCAACAACTCAGTTGCCACACCCCCAGCCAAAGGCTCTCCCAGACAACAGCAACACTGGGGAAAACCCCAGGCAGAAGCATGGTGAGATAACATCCCAACTATGCACAGGCCCCAGCCAGAACCCCGCCCAGAAGACAGGGTAGTGCAGGGATCCAGAAGGGCACCATTCTGAACCCAGGAATTGGTGCAGTGGTGAGCAGCAGAGAAAAGGCCTCTCAGTGGCTTGCTGAGAAATAAGACCACTGGGCAAGCAAAAAGTTGCCTCAACAAAGGCGCAGCATGCTATATCTATTGAAATGAGAAGACACATAAACAAGTCTCAAAACTAGACTTCCAGATCACCTAAGGCAACCCCACAGGGCAACAAGAATGAACAATGTGATACTCAACTGCCTGGACTCCCTGAACTGGCAATGAAAGAGGATCTAGAAAAAAATGAAATCAAAAATTATTTCTTAGATAACAAGAGAGATTGTGTCCATGGAGCAAGAAATAAATAACTCTAGAGCAGTCACAGATTAAAAAAAAAAAAATACAGGAGCTGAGGAACATGATAGAATCCCAGTGTAAGAAACAAATGGAATGAATAAAACAGATGCAAACAGATATCCAGGAGACTAAAAACTCCATTGATACTTTACACAGTGGAATGAGCCAATGTAAGGACAGACTATCAGATACAGAAGACAGGATTGGGACCAGGCATTTAGCTCAGTGGTTCCCACCACCTGCCTCACAAGCTCAAGGTCCTGAGTTCAATCCCTATTACCAAAAAAAGACAAGATTACAATTAGTGACCAGGAAAAGAAAATTTTCTTAAAATTCTCAGGGACCCCAAGAAAGCAATTTAGCAGCTTCTAGATGATGCAAAAAAGAATAACATAAGATTGATCAGGTTCAATGAAGAAACAGGAGCATGCAGGTGACATTAAAAAAAAAAAAAAAAAAAAAACTTCACAAAAGTAGTAGCAGAAAACTTCCCAAGCAGGGGAAAAGAACTTGAAATACAGATCAGTGAGGCATATATGACTCCAAGTAGCCATAATAAAAAAAAAATCTACACCTAGGCATATAATAGTTAAGATTCCATAAACAAAACAGAAGAACAAAATTCTACAAACAGAGAAACACAAATCACAAAGGAAAGCCCATCAGAATCACAGCAGACTTCTCAACACAAACCCTCAAGTGAAGAAGAGCCTGGAGTGAAGGATTTCAATCCCTATAAGAAAACAGTCTCCAAACAAGATTGATGTACCCTGCAAAGCTATCTTTCAAAATTGATGGTGATATAAGATACTTTCATGGCAAAGAGCACCTGAGCACCTTTATGAATACCAAAAAAAGCACTCCAAAAAAAATTTTTTTAAATATCCTACGAAAAAACAATGAGGATCACAACCCCAAGAAGCCCAGTACAATGAATCCATCAGGCACAACAAGAAATTAAATGCAAAGTGGGAGAATCAAACAAAAACAAAAGCTCGTGACAAGGATAAGTCAATACATATCAGTTATAACCATCAATGCCCACACTCTTAATTCACCAATCAAAAGAAACAGACTGGCAGATATTCAACATAGACTTAATTCAAATAGAAACTCAGACTGAAAGTTAAAGGGTGGAAAACAGTACTCCATGCAACAGGAACCCCAAAAAAAGCAAGAGTAGCTATCTTATTTGCAGAACAAATGGATTTTGAACAAACACTAATTAAAAGAGACAAAGGAGGACACTACATCCTTGTAAAGGGGTAAATCCAAGAGGAAAAGATAACAATCATAAATATATATACACCCACCTATATAAAAATACTAGTGCACCCACCTATATAAAATAAATACTAATGGACATGAAAATTCAAGTAAGTACTAATACAGTAATAATGGGAGACCTCAATACCCCAACATCACAAATAGGTAGATCAACTAGACAGAAAATAAACAAGGAAATACTAAAACTCAATCTCTTGAACAAATGAACTTAATGGAGGTTTATGGAGTGTTCCACCCCACAAAATCAGAATACACATTCTTTTTGGCTGCACATGGGTTGTTCTCAAAAATACACCACATACTTGCTCATAGAACAAGTCTAACACAAAGGAATTGAAGTTATCCCCTGTATATTATCAGACCATCGTGCAATGAAATTAGAGATCAGTAGCAACAGAAACCATACAAATTTCATAAACCCATGGAAATTGAATGATACGCTCCTGAATAACCAATGGGTCCCAGAGGAAATTAAAGAAGAAATCAGTTTCTATAATTAAATTAAAATGCTAATCCAACATATCAGAATTTATGGGACACAGTGAAGGCAGTCTTACAAGGTAAATTCATACAAGTGAATACTCATATTAGGAAAACAGAGCAAGCTCAAATAAACAACCTGATGCTCAACCTCAAACTTATACAAAAAGAACAAGACAAACCCAAAGCTCATACAAGGAAGGAAATTATACTGATCAGAGCAGAAACCAATGCAATGGAGACTAAGAGAACAATACAAAAAATCAACATAGCAGAGAGTTGGTTCTTTGAAAGAATATACAAAAGTGACAAACCCTTAGCCAACCTTACAAAAAAAGGAAAGAAAAGACCCAAATTAATTCAATTAGGAGTGAAAGGGTGAAATTACAACAGACCCAGAAGAAATCTAGAGGATGACCAATACCTACTTTGAAAACCCATACACCAATAAGATGGAAAAAGACAGAAATGGACAGATTCCTGGATACACATGAATTACCGAAGCTGAACAAAGAAGAAAATTCTGAACAATGCAATATCATCAACACAATTGAAAACATAATTAAAAACTGAGTAATGAAGAAAACTCCAGGTCCCAATGGCTTCACTGCTGAATTCTACAAGACATTTAGAGAAGAACTACTACCATTACTATTTAAACTCTTCTGTGAAATCAAAAGGGAAGCAATACTCCTGAATTCATTCCAGAAAGCAAACATCACCTTGATCCCAAAATCAGAAAAAAGAAGAGAACTATAGGCCAGTCTCACTAATGAATATAAATGCAAAAATCTTTAATAAAATACTGGCAAACAGAGTGCAAAAGATCGTCAAGAAGATCACACATCCTGACCAAGTGTGATTCACCCCAAGGATGCAGGGATGATTCCACACATGCAAATAAACAAATGTAATATATTATATTAGTAGAACCAAGGACAAAAACCATATGATCATCTCAATAGATGCAGAAAAAGTATTCGACAAAATCCCACACCCACTCTTGACTTAAAAAAAAAAATTGGAATAGAAAGTCTCTATCTCAACCTGATAAAAGCCACCTATGAAAAACCAACAGCCAATATCATACTAAATGGTCAAAAACTTAAGTCCTTCACACTAAAATCAGGAGCAAGATAAGGAAGTCCAGCATCATCACTCCTGTTCAATATAGTTTTTGAAACATTAGCCACAGCAATTAGACAAGAGAAAGAAAAGCAATAAAGATAGGAAAGGATGAAGTCAGATTGTCACTATTTTCAGATGACATGATACTCTATATAGAAGACCCCAAGAACTCCACCAAAAGTCTTCTGAATATAATAACCAAATTCAATAGAGTAGGTGGATATGAGGTCAGTACACAAAAATCAATAGCTTTCCTGTACATGAACAACATACTCACTGAAAGAGGAACTAGAGAAACTACTCCCTTCACAATAACATCCAAAAAAATGAAATAACTAGGGATCAACCTATCAAAAGAAATCAAAGGTCTCTACACTGAAAACTACAGCTCTTTGAAAAAATAGACTAAAGAGGGTATCAGAAAATGGAAAGATATCCCTTGCTCCTGGGTAGGAAGAATCAACAAAGTGAAAATGTCCATACTTCCAAAACTGCTATATAGATTCAATGCAATCTCAATTGAAATCCCAGGAGCATACTTCACAGACCTTGGGAAAACAATCCAAAAATTCATTTGGAGCAAGAAGAGACCTACAATAGCAAAAGTAATTCTAGGTAACAAAGACAAGATAGGGAGTATCACAATACCCAACTTGAAACTATACTACAAAACTACTGTGATAAAAACATCATGTTACTGGCAAAGAAACAGACCTGAGGATCAGAGGAACCGATTAGAAGATTCAGAAACAACTCCAGACACAGTCACCTCATCTTCGACAAAAGGGCTAAACACCCTCATTAGAGGAATGATAGCCTCATTAATAAATGGTGCTGGAAAATTTGAGTTTCAACTTGCCAAAGATTAAAACTAGACCTATACTTGTCACCATGCACTAAACTAAAATTGAAATAGATTAAAGATCTAAATATTAAAACAGAAACACTAAACACCTGGAAGAGAGTTTAGGTAGAACTATTGGAGACATTGACATAGGAAAAGATTTCATGCACAAAACCTCAGTTTCATGTGAACTGGCACAAACAATCAACAAGTGACATCACTTCTTATTAAAAAAGCTTCTGCACAGCAGAAGTAACCACCAACAGAAGGAAGAGACAACCCACAATGTGGGGGGAAAAAATTTACCAGCTGTTCCTCAGAGAAAGGTCTACTATATATTTATATATAATATATAAAGAACTTAAAAAATAGGACCTCCCAAATTTGAAGACCCAATCCAAAAATGGGCATCTAAAATGCTCAGACATTTCTCAAAGAAGTAGAAACAGCAAATAAACAATGAAAAAATGTTCAGCATCACTCGTCATTCGAGAGATGCACATGAAAACAACACTGAGATTCCACCTCACCCCAGAAAGAATGGCTGCTATCAAGAAATCAACCAATAGCAAATGCGGGTAGGGTTGTGGGGAGAAAGAAACCCTTCTCCATTGTTGGTGGGAGTGCAGAATGGTGTAGCCACTGTGGAAATCAAAATGGAGATACAGCATCACTCGATTCGAGAGATGCACATGAAAACAACACTGAGATTCCACCTCACCCCAGAAAGAATGGCTGCTATCAAGAAATCAACCAATAGCAAATGCGGGTAGGGTTGTGGGGAGAAAGAAACCCTTCTCCATTGTTGGTGGGAGTGCAGAATGGTGTAGCCACTGTGGAAATCAAAATGGAGATACCTCAAAGAACTAGAATTAGGGGTCACATTTGACCCAGCTATTTCTCTGCTGGGTATTTTCCCAAAAGAATTTTAAAAATCATACCACAGTGATGCACATGCACCCATATTGGGTAGGGTTGTGGGGAGAAAGAAACCCTTCTCCATTGTTGGTGGGAGTGCAGAATGGTGTAGCCACTGTGGAAATCAAAATGGAGATACCTCAAAGAACTAGAATTAGGGGTCACATTTGACCCAGCTATTTCTCTGCTGGGTATTTTCCCAAAAGAATTTTAAAAATCATACCACAGTGATGCACATGCACCCATATTCACAGCAGCAAACTTTACAGTAGCTAAGACTTGGAAACAGCCCTGTTACCCATCAACTGGAGACTGGATAAAGAAAATGTGGGGTCTTGTTTTTTTATAAAATGAAGTACTACTCAGCCATAAAGAATGAAAAATTAGAGACACTTATAGCTAAATGTGTGCACATTTAGGCGATACTCTTAAGTGAAATAAATAGGACACACATGTAAATACAGAATAGTTTCTCTTGTGTGAGAAACTGAAAGTGTAAATAAGGATATTGTGAAATAGGAAGAAAAGGTGCAAAGGGCAAGGGGAAGTGGGAGGGATTGGGAAAAGGAAAGAAGGGAATGGAATTAACATAAAAAAATGCAAGCAAAGTCTTTGTAAATAGGAAGTGGTGGAGAGGTTGAAGGGAAGGCAGAGGACTGCGGAAAAAATAAAAACCAAGATACATTATGTAAAGGTAACAAATTTCTAGTGATAAATGTCATTACATTGTATACCTAAAATATACAAATAAAATTAATTTAAAAAATAAAGTCTATAGCAGTGAATGCTCAATAAATGTTAGTTTATATTTTCCCTTTTATTTTTAGGAATATTTATAAATTTAGTCAGAAATGTATGGGTCTATGAAATCAAATATAGAGGGTTTTATTTGATAGAATAAAGAGAGTGGGTATGTCTCAAAGTTTCTTTTTTCAGGTAATTCTTAAAATTGGTGATGAAAATTTCCAAGAAATATTTTACCTTTTGAAAATTTGATGTCATTTTTAATATTTATACTATGGTGAAATGTTTTCTTTGTACAGTGGTTTAAAGTGACATTTTATCCATTGAAAAATTAAATCATATAGACCATTGATGATAGCTGTTCAATCTTTCTTTATGGTACTCTCAGTTTTCCAAAAACCTGTTCCTCCATTAGAAGAGGCCCTTAAACAAATTCAAGAATCCAACTTGAAATCAGAAGTACGCCTTCCCTTTTCCTACAGACCAACAATAAGCCAGAGGTAAGTAATTTATTATTACTATGTATAATTATTTGTATATAGTAATCTCTAGTGACTAAATTTGTGGAGCGTTTCATCAGCTACTCCCTGCCTGTTTTCTAGAATTTATTTTCACAGATTAAATTGAGGTAGAGTAGATTTAAATTAGCATTCTAACTTGTTATCTGAAAAAGTTTTGGGTACTTGGGTATAAATACTTCCTATGTTGAATAATTTTATATGGAAATGCTCATTAAAACATTTTAATATCTCAATGTTGATTTTTATTACTGAGAGGAGAAAGTTGAAGTATAGTGATATAAACTTGGGTTTAAAAAAAGTAACATTACATAAGAAAAGGGTTTTTTTTTTTTCTAAGTGGAAATTTTTTCCTAAATGTCCAGAATGGACTACAGCAACTCTTAGTTCCTCTCCAAAGTTGCATAAATGAATCATGTAGAAATAATAGAATGGATCAACAAGTACTGTGTGCCCTCTAACATTCTGTATTTTTCATTTATTTATTTATTCCATATATTTATTGATATATACTATATACATAGAACTAGATGAAGCTTTGTCAAGGGATGTGGAAAAGTATACTGTTATAAAATATCCCTTTACAAAGTAATGAGCATGTGCAAAGGACAAGGACATTAGAAGGCATCATATATTACAAGAGTGACAATTTGGTTAAATCATAGAGTGCAAAATACTAACAATTTGTGTAGATGTGACACTGTGAAGGTAAATGCATCTACATGTTAAGGGCTATAAACTTTATCCTAGAGTTAAATAGAATTTTAAGCAGATGAGTAAGATCCAAATTTTTAAAACATTCCAATTCATTGAGAACTTTTGTGGATAATGAATTGAAAGAAAAGGCTATTTCAATAAATATAGAAATTATATGATCTAGAACTCAAAAGAAATGACAGTGGATGTGATCCAATGATGAACACTAGAGAGCAGCAACATTTAAGAGATGGAAAAAGAGATACCTGCAAATAGAAACAGGTAGAATTATTGACGCAGGACTAGAAGAGGGTAGTTTCGTATAAAGTAAGGAAGGATCAAGCTTCATGGAAAAGAAATAGTTTGCAGAGACCAAATGATTTCTAAACAATCAGTAAATTAGTAAAATAAAAAGTGGTGTTTGTCAAGATACTGGCAGGAAACAGGAGGCGCATTTAAAAAGATTAGATGCGAGGTTAATAACGAGGCTATGAAACCAACAGAGGACTGTGAAGCTCTCCCAAACTGTCAGCAAAGTCAGTGTTACCAATACACACCAGAATTGAAAAGAGCTGAAGTTGTGGAAGGGGGCTGATAAATGGAACCCATGGGCCTAGGTAAAGGAACATAGCCACTGCTAAACCAAGCAAAGCAGTGAGAGAACCAAAGGAATAAGTGCCAGAAGCTACTGTCACCATCCTGTCTCCTGCTAGTGTCATTCATTAGCCAAACTCAGCCATGAGTCTGAAGGCAAGTAAATATTTAGCCTCTGTAGAATGCAGACAAGTAGGAAAGTGTAGAAAATGAATCTGGAGAAGCAAAGACAGAATATCCAGACAGATGCAGAGTTCATGGTATTTCCCAACAAGAAAGTCACTGACAAATTTTGACCGCAATTTTGGGGGGAGTGGTGAAGGCAGAAAATGGATTTCAGTGAGTTGAAAGAAATGGAAAGAAAGATAAGTATAGCTTGCCCATGAACATAGAGTTATAAGATAATAACCAGAAAAAATGTAGGGATGGGATACAGTCTTTTCCTTTAAAATGAGAGATCTTACCCTGTTTAAAAATGAGTGTCAAAGTGATAAGTAACAGAAATGCAGTCTAGAAAGGTCGAGTAGGATAAAAATATGAAATGAGTCAAGTACATACTCTGTGCTATACAATGAATAGCATGGGTTACACATATGATTGAGATATAGTCTTCTGCCTAAGAAGGGTTTGCAGTCACATAGTAAGCCTGTGTAATGCTGGTTACATTAGAACTCATATGTAATACTGTATTCTGGGGGTTGTTATAGAATTATTAACAAAGTGACAAACACAAAAATTTTTTAAATTGTAAAGGATGAGTAAGAAAGAATTGTCTAATAAAGAAGCATGAATTGGGTTTTAGGAATGTATAAGTTAGAGTGTTATAAAAGACACAGACCGTGAAGGAAATGGAACTTGTTTAGAGTGGCAGGAACACAGGTTGTGTTACTAGTAGGACAGAAGATGATCTAGAATATTAACTGAGTTTTATCCTATAACTAATTTTACCCTATAACTGTAATGGTTCTCCTATAATGGAGAACCAATGGAGACTTTAAAGCAGAGAATGGCATCATCTTTATAATTTTAAAAAGATAAATGGTTTGAATGATGGAGAATAGAATAGATAGAAATTGGAAGTCTGAAGACCAGAAAGAAAAAAAATTATTGGGATAATACAAAAGATTTGTCATTACTGCCTAAATTAGAATAACACTGTTATGGTTTATTGAAGAAAATAGATCTGATGAAAGATAAACAGATTGCTGAGATGTAGTTCAGTGGAACAGTGTTTGCCTAGCTTATACCATGGGTTCAGTCTCCAGCACTACAAAAAGGTGTATGATAGTATTCTATCACTTTCTCATTGCTGGAACAGAACACCCAACACCCAAAACTTAAAGGAGGACAGATTCATTTTGGCTCATATTTTCGGTTCATGGTCAGCTGACTCTAAGGCAGAAGCAGCATGGTGGAAGAGCTTGGGTGAAGAACAACTGCTCATCCCATGGTAGCCAGGATGCAAAGAGCCAGCAAGGGAGATAACACCCATCCAGGTCACACCCTCAGTGACCCACGTCTTTTGACCAGGCCCCACATCTTGACAGCACATTCAGCTATGGATTTATCAGTGGATAGTGCCCCCGTGATCCAGTCTCCTTCCAAAAAACCCATCTCTGAACACATGAGACTTTGGGGGAATATTCTAGATCTAAACCATAACATTCCACTCTTTTCCTCCAAAAGACTCATGTCCATCTCCTTATGAAAAAATGTATGCACTCCATGTGTATGAGTTGACAAATTCTTAAACAGTTGTTATTGCTGAAAAGTCCAAGTCCAAAGTCTCCTCTGAAACTCAAGCCAAATTATAGCTGTGAGCCTAAGTAAAAATCAAAAAAATTAAACACTGCTGACATAATAGACATTTCCATTCCAAAGGGAAGAAATGGGTGTAGAAGGAGATGAGGCCAGAGTAAGTCTGAAACCCAATAGGGAAAACATTAAATCCTAAAGGATACTGGGAATAAATTCTCCAGTAGAGAAAATATTGAATTAAAGCTCCATGTTCAGCACCTAGGGCAAGCTATGGTGAGATGTGAACATTAAAGGGCTTAGGTGCCCTTGCCCTTATGGTTTTGCCAGTGCAGCCCTTGTGACCTCTGGGATTATGACAGACAAAATTAGAGGAAACTTCAAATATAAGGAATAATTAGCATGTACAAGAAAGGCATGAAAGGCCATGTTCTGCTAGGAGAATGTTACATGATTCAGCTTAGCTATGTGTACACTGAGAAGAGAGTTGTGCGAAGATACGTTAGAAAGGAGTTAAACCATGAAGAGCCTTGTTTAAAAATTTGTTCTAGAAACACTTAGTGAAAGATTTGAAACAAGCACACATTTATATTTTAGAAGTGGTACCAGAGTGAGAAAAAAAAAAAAAGGTAAGGCTGAAGGTGTGGAAATTCAACTAAAGTAGTATGTAGGTAATAATGACTTCGTCTTTTTAGAATTTTTATTAGTACATGTTTTCAGTACATAATATATGGGCTGCCAAAGCAAGCACTGTTTGCAGTACATAATGATTACATTCATCTAGGAGAACTGATAAATGTTAAACACACCTTGACTCTTTTCCTTCCACTTTCCCTGCCCTACACCCTCCCTCCATCTGCTGTGATGACTTCTGAAGAGCTATTTAGAAGAACCTGGGCATGATGTCACACACCTGTGATCCCGGCCCTCTGGGAAGCAGAGGAAGAAGGACCACAAGTTTGAGCCTGGCCTGAGCAATTTAGAAAACCTGTCTCAAAATTTAAAAACAGATGGAGAGTTAGTTCAGTGCAAAAGCCCTGGGTTTAATCTCTATAACCACAAAATAAATAGGCAGGAAGATAGACAGATACTATAAATTTTGCAATTATTAAATTCATTACAAGTATGGCCATTAATCGTCACACATCAACTTCATTGGATTAAGAAATGTGTAGCAGATTATTAGAGCACGTTCCAGGTTGTGTCTAGGTAGGGCATGGAGGCAAGGCCTTGGGTACTGTATGTGTTCCCACACCTACTCCTCTCTGGCACTGTTCCCTTGCTGTGCTCCTTGGCTTCTATGAACTGTTCTGTGGCATCCTTCCACCATGATGTTCCAACCAGCTGACTGAAAAGAGTCCCCTCCAAACTGGGCTTAACTGAACCATTCCTCCTTTAAGTTATGAGTGTCAGGTATTGTGTCCAGCAACAAGTAAACTTAGCATTACAGCAAGCAAAGCAGTGCATTGAAGTGGGAAAAGTAGAACCAAAGAGCAGTGTGGTAAGGAACAAATCCAAGTTGAGGCAATAAAGGCAATATAATTTAGACTACTTTATGCAATAGCTTGTCTTAAAAAATTGAAAAATAAGGAGAGGGGCCCTAGAGTTCACGGAATTTAAGCTGAGTTTAAAAATTCAAAACAATCAACAAAAAAAAATCAAAACAATTTAGTATAGAAGTAATATCCATTTTTAGTACAGGAACTCTTCCCTTTCAGGTTTCTTTTTCTGTCTCTCAGTTGTTATATTTTGTGTTAATCATATATTTTCAATTTTAAAAATGCGTCTTGTTCAGTAAATGAAAGTATAGACTTGTTTGTCCAATAATGTTCAGTTGCTTAAGTCTTAGAAGAGTTAAAATGTCAGAAAAACCGAGTTCTCTGAAACAGATAGTTATCATGACTGCAAAGCTGTGCTGGATCACTAAATATATATCATCTTTGTTTTATGAAAAGTGACTGTCAGTCAACACTAAAATACGTAGTTTTCCTGTTACTGAAATATATTATTTTGACTGACTTTATGATGTCTATATCACTGTGTGCATATATACCACATGCATGTCATATATTTGGAAAACAAAAATATATACAATCTATAGAGAGAACAGTATAGTTTCATTATTTCAAAGTTGCATTTCTTTCCACAGATAACAGTAGTAAATAATGTATATTAAAATGTTTATAAACTATAAGCAATAAATGCCATACAAATATGAGATATTGATTATTAAGATTCAGGTATTAGGTAATGAAAATATACTTATTGCAAATATTACCAATATTAATAAATATCATATTAAAATACATTCTCAATGAACTATAAACCTAAAATATGTTAATAAAGTGATGCCAACAAATGAAATTTCCAAAGAAACAGAGGTACATCAGTTCTTATGAAAAAAATGTCCTAATATGGAAAATGTTAATAGTAAATAAATATAGTTTGAGATACTGGTAATTTGATCATCTAAAAAAAAATCTATAAAAAAGTAGAGAACATTGATGCTTAAGCTTCAAGAAAAATCAATATATTTTTATGAACATGGAAACTTTTCAGAAATAAGGAAATATAAAATATTAATAAAGGACTAAAATTTTAAAAAGAAGACGTAATCAATCTTCTATCAGAACCAAATTCCTATCACAGAATGCATCTTCACCTTTCTGGTAGGTACAGGGAGAAAAAGGTATATTCTACCCCATGTTAAATACTACTTATTCTTTTTTACAATAACATTGTTAGATATCTATCTCCAATATCCATGTATTTTTTGGTGAGACAGCTCATTCTGACCACATGCTGCCCTGAAAAGTCTGGATGGAACTGAGCAGTTGTCTATTTGACCTCTACTTGCTCTTTGTGCATGTTCTACACCAGATTTTTCAGCCCATATTCAAGTATCTGTATGGCTAACAGACTTCTAAAACTACTCTAAGAAAAAGAAATAAGAAAAACGGAACACGAGTCAACCATGTAAATTTTTCAGTTGCGGTGAGAGCACCCTGTATGTTCAATGGAAGATCGTGCGTAGACCCTCAGAACAAAAGAAAAAAAAAACATGAATCAAAAGTCTAGAGACAATCCAGTAAATCCAAAAACATCTTAATAAGGCTGTTTCTTCCCCCCTGTCCAAATGCTTTTCCACCTGTACAGATCTATTCCCACCTGTCCAGCTGTCTCCACACCTGATCCCTACTTATCTGATCAGCTGCCTTCTTCACGGGCCCCAGTACTGTCCCACCATTCCCAAATTCTTCCTAGCTACCCAACTGTTTCTCACACACGGCAGCCCCAGACTCTGCCTTCTGCCCCCTCTACTCTCCCAAAGACCTTTGTACCTCCCTCATCACTGTCTTACCCAATCAAATATCTTCCTCACCCTCCTGCCTCAGTTACTTCCAGCTTTTCTAGCAATTTCCTTCCTCTACCAGCCCCTATTCCTTCTCGCCCACCTAATCATCGACTTCATCCATCCCAAAGTTCTCTATTTGTTCCTGATCCTAACTCACAGAATAAGTTATTTTACAAAGCTTTCAGACCTAAACATTTCCTTCCAGCCCAGCGTTCTACCCCAGTTACTCTAATGCCTTCCCTTATTCATCGTTCCCTTCCAGCTCGACTGGTTGTTTCCCCAGTCCCTTTGGAAGCTCTCCCTGCTTTGAAACCTTCTTGTTTATCCAGTCATCCCCTTCATCAACCAGTCCCCAGTCTCTCTGATACCAGTCCATTGCCTGAGCATCCTGCTAGATTGGGTCTTTTCCAGTCAGGTCAGCAATCTCTTTCACAAACCACCTTGTCAGATAAGCCCCAGGCCTTTTTAGACCATCCACCTGCCTCAAGTATTTCCCATGCATCTCCCTGTCATTGTCCATCCTCTTCTTTTACTTCATCTCCTTCTACTTCCACATCCTCTTCTTCACCCTCTGTAGCATTTTCTTCTTCATCATCTGTTCTCTCCTCTCCTTCACCTTCCTCTTCTACTTCTCCATCTCATACCCCAACACCTAGCCCTCTTTTGTCCTCTCCTTTACATTCATCTCCTTCTCCATATTTGCCTCCAGCTTATTTAGCTTTTCCCTCTCCAATTTCTCCTGTTTCTACTCCCTTTATGATTTCTTCTTCCTTTCCCCCTATGCTCCACTCTCCCTCTATTTCTATCTCCCCATCTCCTGTTTTTCCTATCCATCCTTTCAATCCTCCTCACGGGGGGAAGAAAGTAGAGAAAAGAAGAGAAGAAAGTGGAGTAGAGAAGAAAGGAATAGAGAAGAAAAAGTTGAGAGACGACAACTTTAAAGGTAAATAAATTGAGTTTATTAGAAATTTTGTAGATTTAGCTTTGTTTTATTTGGGAAGGGTGACCAAAGGGGAAGGATTATATAAGAGTAGGGAAATATAAAAGGAAGATACAGAAACATATCCACAATGTTCAGACACTTCTATTGAATACATTCTTGCTCTCCTTGATCTCCCTATTATAACAAAGAGGTAGTTAATAATGTAATACTCGTCGATAATCATTAACTTTGACTATTTCAGCCTGTCCAAATAAAGATATATATGGGTATTGGAGATAGGTATATATCTTATGTGGCCAAGTGTCACCTTTCAAACATATTTATATTTATTGAATTGGGAATAATATAATGGAATTGGGAATAAGTAGCCTTGGAATTCATACTACTCGCTATAGTGCATCAGGCAGTTAGCGATACGATATCTTCATTCCCATCCCATCTCTTCCAAAGACTTTCCTTCATTCTTTGTTTTTCTCTTTGTATATAAACTGAAATGTAACCTATAGATATACAGATACACAGAGAATACAAAATTGTAAATAGAAGATGATGTTGTGCTAATATTCTGATGACATTTTGGCACACTAAATTAAATATTAAAGATACCCTTTCTGTAGCATGAAAACTATGGTTATATTCCTGAAACAAACTAAAATAAATGTATACACTCTTCACTAAATAAGAGTCAAATTCCCAAACTTAGATAAGGAGAGAGAAAATTCCTGCCTACCCTGACAAGCAGTTTTCATAGTTTCTATATACCTGAATCTTCAACCAGCTCTTTAGGTTATAAGAATACCTGTTCCCATGACATCAACTCAGAACAAAGGGTAATACAGAATATTATTAGCCAGATAGAAACACTTGTAGGAAACTGAACTGACTCCACATATTACAGGAATTATTTATTCCTATTTCAAATGATAGAAGAATGAGATATAATAATCAAAGTCATGACTAATTGGGCATTCATACATGAAGGTGGAGCTCTTTACTGGCATTATACTCTCACAACCATTTTTATTCTATTGATTGCTTTAAATTACTATTCTACTATATCTATATATTTCTCCAATATCCTTATATGTTATTATCTGGATGTATACATACATACAAATGTGTCATTTATATACTTATAGAATAAGTTAATTTTAATTAAATGTACTAAAATTTTTATGTCTAATTCACAGAGCTATAGATCCTACTTTGTCTTCAGCATTGTCAAAAAATGATCACAAGCATCAGAAACATCTCATATCCAAAATCAACTGGGATACGGAAATGAAGGAAAACAACATGGCAAACATAACTACAAACAAAAATGTGTTCCAGCTTAAACTGGAGGAAACTCAGAAACTCCTAGAAGATCAGCATTTAAGCAGTTTGCAAGTATGCAATTTATTAATACTTTACTGCTTAATACTTTCATTTCTAATAATAATTCTCCCCCACTTTTCAGTGTTCACTAAAGAAATGTATGTTATTAGCTAAGAGTAGGCCATAAAAGATAGTGTGGCTGAATCAGTACAAATTTAACATAAATACTAGAGAAAGAAACTTTTAGTTTTTTCCTTACTTATACATTTTTCCCCTCTAGTTCTTTTGTTCTTTATCCATTCCTTCTATTTCAAAAAAATACACTTTATTAATTTTCTGATAACCATGAAAGCTATTTGAAAGTACAATGAAATGTAAGTATTATTAGAGACTGTAATGTAAAAACAACCTTAAGATTATAATACATATAGTAATTAGGTTCTTAACTGAAATATGACAGAATTAGCTACAAATGATGTTTATAGACTGTTCCTTCTGGGGTATTTATTCTGTTTTTTTTTTCCAAAATGAGTATAGATTTCAGTTGATTTTTCTACAAGTTTCTGCACTTTGTTTTTCATTGATAATTATAAGATGCTTAATTGGTCAATATCAAGATTAATTTGGCCTGATTGATCCAACAACTAATCAATAGTGCCAAGGCTAAGAAAGAAAAACAGGAGATGTCTGCTGGTGAAATATGACTTCTTACCAAAAACAACCATAATTCTGAACATAACATATGAAAGAAACAACTGTTTTTAGACATTGGACAGAGGTAGTATAGGATATGATCTTGAAAAGGAGAAATAATTAGGTAAGCCTCATGATCTTCCTAGGATTTCAATTTAGACATACTCTCTAGATAAACCTCAAAAAAATATGAAAGTGATCCCTTTGCCTATATTAAAAAACCTTTTTTCAGCTGTAAAAATCTAGAAATGCAATAAGACAATGTTTACAATGTCAACATTCAATCAGAATTTACTAGACATATAAAGAAGCAGAAAAATATGACCCATAGCCAGGAGAAAATTAATCAATATAATCAGACACAGAAATGGTAGAGACAATAGGATTAATAGGCAAAGAATGTAAAACCATTTTATAAATATTTTTCAACTAATTAAAGTAAAAATGAATATAGTAAAGATAAAAACACAATGTCTGAAATGAAAATTTTACTGGATGGGCTGCAGTCATTGTAGGGTGCGGGAGATACACATATTTAAAGACATAACAGTAGAAATAATCTGAACAGAAGTACTAGAAGAAAAAATATTGTACAAAATTAACAGTGTTAGTGACCTATGAGACAGTATCAAACAGTCAACACATTTAAGTAAAATTTCACAAAGAAGAGGGAATTTTTTTTAAAACTGTGACTCAAAGTGTTCCCTACATGATGAGAATTATAAATCCACAGATTCTAGAGACTCAACAAACTCCAAGAAGAGTAAATGTTAAGGCACACACAACACACAAAGGCACATTAAATTCAAATTAAACTAGAAGGGAAAAAAAGACATGTCTATAAAACAGATCAATATGTTCTACATATGTGTGAGAAATCAAATGTTTTTAAATATTTGCCATATTCTTACATGTTTGCAGTTTTTTTAATGATTGATAATTCCATGGAAATTATGAGAATGTCTTGAGTTTATGAAACTTATTTGTCCTCAGTCTCCCAAAAAGGAGCCATTTTATAAGTCAATAGTTTTGGAGCCTAAATCCATATTACAATTACCTGGGGTATTTTTAAATAATAGTAATTCATGAACTCTATCCAAGTATTAAATGAACTAGACCAAAGCATAGGTATTTTTTATAAAGTTCCTTATGTGGTTCTAACTTGTAAAGAAAATTGAAAACATTACTATAGTCTACAAGATTGGCTTTTATAAAAGCATTTATGTCCCTCCAACAGGAAGTTCATATCAGGGTCACAAAGCTTTTAGGAGACTCACTTAAGACCAGTGAATGTTTCAAGCAAAACTACAATTTGTAAATTATTATTTTCCACAATTTTACTTGCTATTATGCAACCTTTAAGAAACTCCATACTCTGAATGGAATATCAATAAGAAAACTTTTTTAAGCTATAACTATGGTTGGAATAATTGGAAAGTTACTTTAGGAGTTGAAATTGAAGCAAGCACATTTCACTATAAATCTATATGACACTCCTATTTTTTTACCTGAGGACTGACCAGTACACAGATATAAATAATTTCTACATCTATGCTGTTATAGTCATACATGCTGAAGAGAATTGGATTTGGTAACAATTGTATGTCATTAATTTTACCATTTTAAAAATGTCTAAGGCATAAAACAGTGTTCTCCCTTTTTTTCTAGAGATTTTGTGATGAAGTTAAGCAGATAACCAATTCTGAAACCCTTTCAAGTATAGACAGTCTTGAGGCTGGAGAGCATGAAGAAATATACTTTGCACTTAATAAGGAGTCTGCTCCACCAATCCAACAGAATTCTGTTTCTCTCAAATCATCAAATCTGCAGTCAACTAATCTAAACAACCTTGATGAAGATAAACTGTCCTTATCTAAAACTCAACATATAAATGATTGGCTTACAAATTTAGATGCCCAAAATACTCAGTCTGTCACACCTTCCTCAGATATTTTAAGTAAATCTAGTGTTTTGCCTTCGTGGGAACATTTTAATAATAAAGAACAAAATCAGTCTGCTTTTTGTAGAACTGTAGAAACAGCCACAAGTACTTCTAATAATTCAGTAGCTTTTGTATATAGTCCACCCATTGTTGTACTAGATAAAAAATCTGAAAAAAACTCTGGAAATAGCATGATGAAGACAAGTGACTTCACTTCTGGAACACTCAAAAATGAGAAGCCATTAGTTACTGAGACACCAACATTTAAATTCAGCAAAGCCTGGACCACTCCAGATTCTCAAACCCCGGAGGTGTCTACATTTTCAGACCAAGATAAATATTGTCAATTAACTCAAGAAAATAGAACTGCTTCAATTCCTACTTCATTTGTACCAATGGCGACACCTTTAGTCTTGCCATTTAATAGACAGTATGCTAGACCATTAGCAAAGAACAATATACACATAAAAGAAATTGATCCAGTACAGTGTTCTGATAAGCTAGATGAATTAAAAGATATTAAAGATGAAAATATAAAACATTTTAATTATGAAAAAAAAGAGTTGCCTTTATTTTCTGACAGTTTTCAAGCTGCCAATATACCTCAAAATTTTGATTCAAAAGATAAAAACCAAAAAATAGCTGAAACAGCAACATCATTGTGTAATGTAATTTCTAATTATGACTTATTTGATGAGCACAAGAAAATGAAATACAACATTCATGAGAGAAATGGTGTGAAGTTTCTTAAAAGTATTTTAAAGAAAGAATCTAAATATGAACATGATTATCTTAAGGCACTACTCATAAAGCAAGGCTTTAAGTTCAGAAATAAAAAAGCAGCAGCTATCAGAGATAGTATTGAATTAACAAAGGAAAAAGAAAAAGGTACAGAAATCCTAAAGACTACTAAAAAATTGAGGTGGTTTGATGAAACTATTCATATAGGAAGCAGTGCTGAAGACACTCACTCACTGAAGTACAGAACAGGAACTACTCAACAGTGGTCTCAACAATTTCATAGTCAAAGTGGTCCTGGCAGCAACGCAATTAATGGTCCTGCCTGTCCTGTGCATTCTGCTGATAGAAATAAGTCCAAGGACGTCTCTGAAAATGTCTCTACATTAGGAGGATCTGGAAAAGACCATGTGCCTTTGAACTGTTTTATACCCTCAGGTTATAACTTTACTAAGCAAGCCTGGCCAGTCTCCAAAGAAGAAAGTATAAGTCCTGTACATAATGGTGGCTCAAAAGCTCCAAAAAGCAATCTACAGAGAGATGGAGCAAAAATAATTAGAAGAACAGGATCTGCAAAAGTTCAATCAGGATTTATAGATACAAACAGAAAAGGCCCTATCATTCACCCACAATCTGCAAGCAAAGCCAATGCCTTTATACAAGCTCAGGGTAAACTAATCATACCTCAACCTCCTCCTAAACCTGTATCAAATATTAGAAGTAGTAAAAATGTTCAAGGGTCTCAGTATCAATCAGTAATGCCGCAAAATTCTCAAAACCTTATTACACATGACTGTTTTAATTCAAAATATGTGCTTCCCATAGAATACAGTTTCAATCAATGGCATCAAGAAAGTAGCCCCCCACTCTCAGATGCTTGTTCTGACCTGGTCACTGTGATACCATCTTTACCCTCTTACTATTCTTCCCAGTGCCAAACTTTAGCAAAAACAAATCATTCAAACAGTACTCAAATTTTTGCCCAGCAAGATGGAACATTATATTGCACCCAAAAAACTCCTGTTTTTGAAGAAAGTTATCAGTCTGTGACTCTTAAAACTACTGAGCAAGAATCTATTCCCTCGTGGACAAAAAGGAATAATATCCTGCACCAAAATAAGAGGACCTCTGGTAAGAATAAATTTATATCTTTTATAGATAAAATGTACAGCTTTTAAAATTCACCTTGTTTTTCTTACTGAGGTATGTGTACTGTGTGTGTGTGTGTGTGTGTGTGTGTGTGTGTGTGTGTGTATATATATATATATATATATATATGTAATTACAATTTAGTCATATAGAAATAATTTACTTTTCTTCACATAGTAGCTAGTTTACAAAAAATGTCCCAACCTGTGCTCAGTTAAATTTAGAAACTTTTGCCAGCCTCCATATTGTCCATGGTTTTTCTTGTTAATTTAAAAGGAGGACAAGGAACGGGATCTGATTTTGGGGCCACATTATTCTGTCATTACTATTGTAGTCAAATTCTCTGTCAAGGTAAACACAGTGAAAAATATTGCTTCAATTATCCTAAATTGGTAAATGTGATGGGTAATCTATTCCTTTATTTTCCCTTAAATTACTACGGGTAATTAAATTGCTATAAACTCATAATAGATGTAACCTGATCCTCCCATCCTTTTTTTCAAAGAGTGTGACAGCTCTGCTTTTACCTGTTTATCTTGGTTTTCATTTACAGAAACCCTAAACTTTTTTGAAAATTAATTATCTCTAGAATGACATTATATTTAGTAGCTAGTTGACTCCTCATGAAACTACTTTCTTTCTCTGGGGGAATAGACTAGAAACCCATAAATATCCCTGCCAGTAAGAACCAGTTGTCTACTGAGAAACAGGACTGGGGTTGGAAAGAAGGAAAATAGTAAAGAAATTCTTCTTTTCCAAAGGTATGAATAAGTATTAGCATATAAAAAGAACATTAGTTTAAAATAATATTTAAAGGGCCGGGGATTTAGCTCAGCGGTTCGGTGGCCTGCCTTGCAAGCGCAAGGACTCGAGTTCAATCCCCAGTACCAAAAAATAAATAAATAATAATAATAATAATAATAGTAATAATATTTAAAGTCTTCTTCAATTAGACCATGAGCTTTTAAGAACAAAAGAATTTTTTGGTTGTTCATTACTATATCTCCAGATCCTAATAGTATGTAACACTTAATAAGCATCCACACTTTTCTTAAATTGAATGGACACAACATTTGCACATGGAAAATTAAGTGTAAAGACTCATCTAAAAATCTTCAGTGCTTATATACAAAAATTTAAATTTTAAAAAAATATCTTACAGAAATTTCTTTTTTATCTACTCATTTAAGAATACTCCCAAAATATGAAAGTTATAGATTAGGTATTCTACAATAAAAAAATTATGATTACTTTTTTTTAGTTTGTTCCTACTCTCTGCCAAAGTGCTTTACATTTTTGTCTCATTTAAACCTTATAGTAACCCTGAAAATTAAATTCTTTAAACCCCATTTTGCAAAGAAAAAGAATCAAAATTGCCTAAGGTTAAGAGCTAGTAAACAGGAGAATCCAAATCTCTGTGGCTACAAATTCTGTGCTTTTTCTACTAAAACCATATAACAAATGATTATTAAACATATATCAGGGCCGGGGATTTAGCTCAACCATTTGGTGGCCTGCCTTGCAAGCTCAAGGACCCAAGTTCAATCCCCGGTACCAAAAAAAACAAAAAACAAAAAAACATACATCATATGTCAGACTCTGAGATAATCAAGAAAAAAATACTAAGAAACTTAGTTTCTCAAATAGCCTATGTGTTAGAGTAGTATATTAAAATTCTCTCATTCTCTAATAAAAGAATGTGATACATATGTTCTACTAAAGAAACCAGTATTTTCGTGGCATTTGATTAAAAGAAATGATTCAGTGAACTTTATATAAAAAACACTGTAAATGTAATGAATTTTAGCTGTTTTGACTGTGATAGAAACATTCAAATTGTGTATATATCTTACCTCTTGCTATAAGATTATACTTAAAAGATCTCAGTGGTGCTAATTACTTATCAGTAAGTCATTCAGGCTTTTTTCCAAAACTATTTAAATATCCAGCATTTCAATTCTTTGATAATACTGAATTGTAGTGCTGTGATAATTCATTCATTTACTGTATTTTTCCTATTCACCTATTTGCCAGATAATTTCTGTTCTCACACTCGTGTCTAGAGTTGACAGTTGTAGAAGGCATCTTTTTCTCTATTAGCACTTCCAGAACTCTTTAGCAGCACTGTCTAGGAAAAACTATTCCCATGAGGCCTGGGCCATTCAACTGTATCACCTGCTGCTACCTCAAGTCATTTTCCCCTAAAGCAGCCTTCATCCATAACATCCATAACTCCTCTGCTTCTAAAATTAACTCAGTCATACTCTCCTCTGTGACTACAGTCTCCCATAATTTTGCCATTACTTCTACCATTCTTCTATCTTACTGGGACTGTAAGGTTTTTGTTTGTTTTTTTTTTTTTTCCTCACTTTCTTGTTCCAATTCATCAGCTCTCTCTCAGCTTAGATGTAGTGGTCTTTTGTTTCAATAATTCTTTTGCCAGTACCCTGAACTCTGTCCCTTGGTACCAATCAGGCAACTGTCTCTCCTCAGAAAAAATAAAACTTTTCCACTTACTCTACCTGCTTCTAAATAGAATTCACATGATATGGTAGCTATCTAAATTACATTGTAGATTCATTACTATCAACCTCTAATAATCACCCCTACCAATTAATCTGAAAAGTTCACTATCCATTTTATGCTATAACTATCTAAAACATTTATTCTTCTCAAATATCCAATATCCCCGCTTCTCCTTTTTATCAAACATTTATCTATTCATTTTCCCAGACCATATATCAATGATAATAAATATCCTAAATGAGAAGAAGAATTGTTAGAGTTAGGATACTTTAACAAATTTTTATAAATTTTTTAAATATTTAAAATAATACTCCATGGCTTATAGAGCCATCCATTAGTAGTAAAATTGGAGCAGATGTTAATGATAAACATCAAACTCAGCATAGTGATTGTCTCTGGGGAAGAGAGTAGGAATGAGATCTCCTAACAGTAGGCAGCAACCTTGTTACGTAGAGGTCTTTGATTGTATCTTTACCTGATCTTTAATATGCTTGAAATATTTCTGTGTCAAACAATTTAATGTAAAATGAGCAGCAAGAATGCACTGTGAATAAATAAATACAAGGCATTCTTCTCAAGCAGTTTAGCCATGAGTGGTAACACTGACTTGAAGAATATGTATGAGAACTTTCTAGGGGAACATTAGATACAGATCAATGATCTGAAAGAGAATAACACATGTAAATATAATTGAAATATAAAAACAATCTATGAATTTAATTTTTAAAAGCAAATCCTCTGTCAATACTCTTTGATCTGATGTCCTATTTCATATAAGGTCTTAATCCATCATGTATGTCAATTCTTTATACATCTTCCTGTTTCCTTTGAGACAAAATTTAAGAATTTGAGGAAGTGAGACTATAGATACTTGGAAGTAGATGAGGAAAGAATTGAGAGTTCAGATGTCCTGTGTTTTGTCAACTAAGTATGATAAGATTGTATTATAGAGCAAATTAAAAGTTAAGTTTTGTGAAGAATGAGAAGCGGGGGGCTTGTTGACTAAAGATAAAGCAGTTGCTGGCATATAAAGCCTGAAGGGAATAATATGCTGAGAAGCACTTAAGCAAACCAATTTCTTGTAATGAAATAATTACGGGCTTCCTCATCTGAAAATTAACAAAAACTGATCAAAAATAAGCCCATCTAGAAGGGACTCACATAAAGATACAAACTTAGGAGAAAAGGTATCAATTGAGAGAAAATTTGTAGTAAACTAACATGGAAAACTTAGTGTTATCTGTTACTGATGAATACCAGTATATTTTACGTCAAAAATATGATTTCATATTAAATATGAAACTCAGTGGGAATAGGGAATTGAACAGAAATTAGAATAATTGACAAATATAGTGGAAATATTTTAGGATTTCTAAAAGGGAAACCTGAGAAATTTTTTCCCCATTAAGTTTATTGGTACATTTAAAGCATACAATTCAGTTGCATTCATAATTGGGATCTTGTACCTTTACATTATATGTTTTGGTTGTTATTTTTTCCCCATATCCCTGCCCTCCCTTCACCCCCTTCACCCTTTCCTATTTACAAAGACTTCGTTTCCATTTTTCAATTTTTCAAATTTTTCTTTTTCCTTATTTCCTTTTCCCTTCCAACTTCCCCTTTAGACATTTTCTATTTCACACTCACAATTATACCATTTGAAGCTTATTTACATTTAGTTTTTCATAGCCGAGAAATTATTCGGTATTTACTCAAGTGTCTTCTATTGATTTCACTTAAGAGCATAGCCTCAATGTGCATTCATTTAGCTATAAATGTCTCAAGTTTCTCATTCTTTATGGCTGAGTAGTATTCCATTTTGTAGAAAAACCACATCTTCTTTATCCATTCTTCTGTTGATGGGCATTTGGGTTGTCTCCAACTTTTAACTATCATGAACTGTGCCACTATAAACATGGATGTGCACATATCACTGTGGTATGATTCTTTTAATTCTTTTGGAAGGATACCCAGCAGAGGGATTACTGGGTCAAATAGGACCTCTAATCCTAGTTCTTAGAGGTATCTCCATATTGATTGACACAGTAGTTGCACCAGTCTGCACTCCCACCAACTCCCCACAGCCTGGCCAGCATTTGTTATTGGTTGATTTCTTGATAAAAGCCATTCTTTCTGAGGTAAGATGGCATCTCAGTGTTTTCATCAGCATCCATCAAATGACCAGTGATGCTGAACATTTTTTCATATATTTATTTGCTGCTTTTACTTGTTTGTCTGAGGAATGTCTGTTCATTTTAGATGCCCATGTTTTAATCGGGTTCTTGTATTTGGGGAGTATGATTTTTTTTTTTTTTTTAGTTCTTTATATATTCTAGATAGTTGTTCTTTTTCTGAGGAGTAGCTGGTAAAAGTATTTTCTCACATTGTAGGTTATCTCTTAGCTCTGTCGGTAGTTTCTCTTGCACTGCAAAAACTTTTCAATACAGGATACAATGAGATTCCAGTTTTTGGTTCTTTTTTTTTTTTTTTTTTTTTTTTTTTTTTTTTTTTTTACAGATTGAACTCAGGACTTTACGTTTGCAAGGCAGGTGCTGGAATCACTGGGCTAAATCCCCGGCTCCAGTTGTTGATTCTTTGTGTAAGTTCTCATGCTTCTAAGGATTTGTTCATAAAGTCTCCTATGCCATTGTCTTTGCGAGTTCTACCTAATCTATTTTCCAGTAAGTTTAGTGTTTCTGTTTTGATATTTAGATCTTGAATCCACTTGGATTTTAGTTTAGTGCATGGTGAAAGATAGGGATCTAGTTTTAATCTTTGGCAAGTTTAAATCCAGTTTTCCAACACCATTTATTAAAGAGGCCATCTTTCCTCCAGTGAGGATGGTTGGCTCCTTTGTCAAGGATGAGGTAGATGAATAGGTCTGCTGTTGTTTCTGCATCTTCTAATCTATTCCATTGATCCTTGGGTCTGTTTCTTTGCCAGTACCATGCTGTTTTTATCGCAGTGGCTTTGTAGTATAGTTTCAAGTTGGGGATTGTGATAAGCCCTGGAGACCTGGGAAATTTAATAATGGATACTTTTTAAGTAATATCTAAGAGCTGGAGGTAGTGGCGTACACCTATAATCACACACTTCAGGAGCCTGATGCAAGAGGATCCCTGAGTTTAAGACCAGACTAGCCTACAGGGTGAGTAAAAGAACAGCCTGAGGACTTGTCTAATAAATAAATGACATCTAAAAATGTGAATTTATGGGAACTAAAAGTATTGTGGTTTTTGTTTGGTTGGTTTTTTTGAGAGGTTTTGTTGTTTTTGGGGGGTAGGTTTTTTGATTGTTTGATTTTGATTTTTTTGAGGCAAGGTCTCACTTTGTAGTTCAAGCTGGTTTGAACTCACAGTGTACAACAGACTGTCCTCAAACTTGCAAATGATCCTCCTGCCTCAGACTCCCAAGTGTTGGGATTACAGACATATACCACCATGCCCAGGGGAATAAATTTAATTTAAAAAAAAAGAGATTTACATGGCTGCTATCTAGAAATCTAAAAATAACTATTGAGAGAAATTAAAGAAGACCTACAAAACAGAGGGAAGAGGAATATCCTTTTTAATGTATTGAAAGGAGTCAATTCTCCCAAAAGTTAATCTATAACTTTCATACAATCACAAAGTTTCAGCAAGATTTTTGTAAAAATTGCCAAAGTCAGTGTAATAGTTATATGGAAATGCAAAGGCCAAGAATAGCTGAAACAAGTCAAAGAACAAAATTGTAATACTTACACAATTAGACATTAAAGCTACAATAATTAACACAATATGGTGTTTGCAAAAGGATATTTAGACCAATGGAATGAAATAGAGTCTAGAGACAGACCTACAAGTTTAAGTACTTGGTTTTTGGCAAAGGTGGCAAGGCACAAGAGGGAAAAATGTTAAAAACGTTTATCAGTCATTAATTGGAAGAATATATTGAATTAGTAAAAATGACTTTTAACTCCCTACTACACACAAAATTGAATTCCAAGTAAACTATAGATCTAAATAAAGGGAGTAAAAAATTTCTTTCAGAAGATAATGTTGGGAATACATTATGATTTTTAGAATGCTCATAGATTTTTTGAACAATATATAAAAAGTAAAAACTATTGAAAAGACTACTGATAACTTAGATGATAAAATTAATGTTTTTACCATCTAAAAAAATCATCAATGGGCCAGGCATGGTGGCACATGCCTGTAATCCCAGCACTCGGGAGGCTGAGGCAGGAGGATCACTGTGAGTTCAAGACCAGCCTGGGCTACATAGTGAGTTCCAGGTCTGTCTCAACTACATAGTGATACCCTGTCTCAAAAAAACCAAAAAAAAAAAAAAATCATCAATGGATTGAAAAGGCACACCACAGGATGGAAGAAGATATTTGTAATGCATAATATTGTCAAAGAAAAATATATAGAGAAAGAGCTCATAAGGAGAATACATAAAGAACTATAATAAATAGCCTAGATATATCAACCAGGGTTAAACAGGAGAAGTGATACCAGTAAGGAGATATTAAGAGACTCACTGAAAGGGATCGATTTTTGTCAATATAGGACCTATCATGTCAAATCCAAAATTTGTAGTGCAGCCCATGAGAAAGGTAGGCTTCACAAAGACAGGCTAATACATCTATCCAGAGGAAAAATGTCTTATTCACTCAAGGAAGCCTCAACACTGATTTGTAGGGCTTTAATGGACTTAATCAAGTCCACCTAGGTTATCTAAATAAATTTCTCAACTTAAAGGAAACTGATTTTAATAATATCTACAAAATCCTGTTACAGTGACATCTGCATTAGTTTTTGATGGATAACTGCAGACTGTAGTCTAGCTAACATAATATAAAGACCTTCACACCATTTTTTTCAAAAAAAGAAGATTGGAAAAATCTTATAAAAAAGGACAACCAAATTGTCAATAAACATATATAAAATCTCTGCCTTGTTAGTCGAGAAAATACACACTTTAACAATGAGATATGACTATATACATCAGAATGGCTAAAGTTAACAACAGACATTAAAGGTCTAGTGAAAGGTTGGTGAAGAAGTATATCAACTAAAAACTATTATACTGATAAAGATTAAATTATGTATATTCTGTGACCCAGCAATCCAGTCTAATAGATTCAGTAGCATGTGCGTGTGTGTGTCTGTGTGTGTGTGTGTGTCTATGATGTACACACACCAAATTTATATAAATCAAGAGATGTTCAAAAACTTTCATAGCATGTTTAGAGTTAGAACCTGGAATTATCTCAAATGTTCTTCACACTACATAATATATAAATAAAGCAAAGTTCTATCTTTTATTTAATAAAATACTATAATAAAAAAAGATTTATTACTAAAAATGGCAATTTGAATGAATCTTACACCCTAATATTATATAAAACAAGAATATTGGTCAGGTGTGGTGTCGCATGCCTGTAATCCCAGCACTTGGGAGACTGAGGCAGGAGGATCACTGTGAGTTCGAGACCAGCCGGGGCTACATAGTGAGTTCCAGGTCAGTCTCAACTACATAGTGAGACCCTGTCTCAAAAAAACCAAAAAAAAAAAAGAATATTGCATGAAAATTTGTATTCTTTTTAATATCAAGAACAGGTAAAACTATGGGGGGCTATATTGGTACAAATGAAAGGAGCTTTTCTGATGCTGCTACTATTCTTTATGCATATGGTGCAATTTGAATTTGAGTAATACAATACGTTTACTTATAATTTGTGCATTTTATTAAATTTCACTTATACTTCATGTTTTTTGAAAACCAAATGATATTTGGCATGTTAAATAGTTTGCAATTAGATTTCAAAAAGAATGCATGTTTTCTTTTCCAGTAGTTATTAAGAATATTATCAAGGAATCCAACATTTTATTATTAGAAAGGACCAAGGAGATAATTTTGTTTAATTCTCATATTTTTCTGGAAATTACATAGCCAAAAAGTACCGAGCTAGTTCAAAGCAGAGCCAAATTTTCTATTGCAACTCCAGTATCTTCCTCTATAATAAATCTAGTATTAATGAAAACACAATTTGATCAGAGATATAAAAATAGATTATTCTGCATAAATCAGATAATTATTATATGCCTTTTCTAAACACTATTCTAAGTGCTGTTATAAACACTTTGCATAGGAAAACAAACTTGATGATGAATATGAGGTAAATAATATCATTACCCCAATTTTAAAATTAAAGTTGAAGTACATAGAGATAAGTAACTTACATAATTTTCATGGCTAGTATAAGTGATATACTCAGGATTAAATCATTCTGTGTCTACAGTCTCTGTTTTATGAGGGAAGTTTTTATATTACAAAAGTTCATTTAACAAAAAGTTTAATAAGAAAATGTACATGACCCAATTTTTACATTATAGTGAAACAGGCCCTTTGTAAAGGGGACATTACCAAACAGCCATGAATTATGGGAGTCTTTTCCAAGGCTTCTAACATGATACTGTTTACTCATATTATCACCATTCTGGTATTGTTTAATTGCACACTAGTTGCCATCTTCACACATTTGTCTTTCACAAAATTGATAAGGGAATCAAATCTCCATGATATTCCCTGGACATGTCTGTCACTATTTAATATCAATGATAACATCTTTTCCATAGATGTTTTCAATTCAGGAACATGAGCTTTGCTCATATTTACTGAGAGGGCTCAGAGCTGCTTTGAAACATAAGTCTGTATTTTTACTCTCTTCGTTACTGTGTACTTCTTTTTTCCAAACCTATCATTCTGAATCTCTCCAGTGTTTTTCCTCATGTTTACAATTGATAATACTATATATTTTAAAATATATAATATTTTTGAAGATTAGCCACCTTATTTTGAGCTATCATATTCAGAATTTTCTTTTTTTTCTTTTAATGAGTTTATTGGTACATTCTAGGTATACAGCATAGTTACATTCATTATTGGGATCTTGTACCTTTACATGACAGGTAGTCTTGATTCTCATTTTTTCCTCTTGTCCCTGCCCTCCCTTCACCCGCCCTCCTCTCCCCATTCAGAATTTTCATATGATGCTAGTCATTTGATGAGAGATACTAGTGGTAAGTAATATTATTTTTGAAAAACTGCCAAGATTCTTGGCCACTATAATACATATTAAATTGTACTAAAATGCATATATGCACTCCCTTAGAGTATAACAGTACTTCTAAAGATCTGGTTTTAATTGGTTAAAATTATTGTTTATACTAACTTTGTAACAGCTATGGTAAACTATTTTTTGTTTTTGCTTTATTTAGTTGTGTGTATGTGTTTTTCTCAAGTACATAAATAACTTCTAGCATATGTTTTATCTGTACTCTCCAATCTACTGAACTTAACACCTACACAAAGAATAATAAACCACAAAGGTAAGTAATTTAATCAAGAAACTGAAGTATTAGCTGAGCTTACCTCTAGAAGGTTGATGAGGAAGCTGAAGGATGCGATTAAATCTTTACACAGCAGTCAATAAAAGGAAAACAGGGACTGTACAAGATTTAAAGGAAAAAATATATATATATATACATTTTAAAAATTATTGATGCCCAGATTATCTCATTGAAAATTACTACATAATATTTAGTATATTTAGCATTTAACATATTTAATAAATCTAGCATTCAGAATACCCATATGGGTGGAAATAAATAATGTAGAAGTTTGTTTGCTTGTTTTTTATAGTACTGGAAATTGAACCTAGGCCTTTGCACTGAGCTACCTCTCTAGCCCTTTTTTTTTTTTTTTTTTTTTTTTTTTTTTTTTTTAAAAAAGTTTT